AGAAGATGTTGGATAGCCATTTGTCTGAAACAGTACAGGGTTTTCTGCCTAGGCAGGGGGTTGGACTAGAAGTCCTCCAAGGTCCTTTCCAACTCTGCTATTGTATTATTGTAAAATCAATTTATTTTAAGGTGATGTTATTTATTGTATTATTTGATAAGTTTTTAGTTCCTGAGTTTTAATATTTTAACTACAGTTTTGTTGTTTTCTTTATATATTTTAAATTTAATTTTTTAAATGTTATTTTTGATGGCAAAATGGAATACAAATTTAATGTACATGAAATATGTCCCGTGTCATTTCTTTAGACCCGTGAAGAATGGCAAAATGTCTTTCTAATAGCTTCATTAGTCCACTATAGTGGAGTGGTATTTTATGCTATCTTTGCTTCTGGTGAGAAGCAGGAATGGGCTGATCCAGAAAGTCTGAATGAAGAAAAATGTGGAATACTTGAACAAGATGAACTGGCTGAAGAGACTGAATTGAACAATGATACTTTTGTTAACACAAAGAAAACATATGGCGCTACTATTCAGCATGATGAAGCACCAAGGAAATTGCAGAAGGAAAAGGGAGTGAGGCACAATGTGGAAGAACAGACTGTTTATCAGTATGAAAATGGAAACTTTCAAGATTCATTGTAAATGTGTTCATCGTTGGTATGACTGTTACTATCAGTGTATAAAAGTAAGCTGTATCTGCATTTATTATATTATTGTGGCTAATCCTGCCAAATGATTGGCTATAAGACACATTCATTTTCAGCTTGTGTTATAGGAAATGGATTAATAAAAATACATCTGATGTGTGTAGTGTCTATGATCAGCCCTTGGGTTTGCAAAGTCACAGTACTTTAACGCTGGGACTAATGACATTTTTAATACACCACTCTTCAGCAATGCAATCATAGTCACGACTCAAATATTATGACCATGTAAAAATCCCATAAGCAGAATTTTCTACTCAGTTAATTTCCATAGTAATATATAATGGAGGATGCACTGGGTTTAACTTGAAATTATACTGTACAGATAGTGATCCACCTTTAACAATGCAAATTGTTAATGGGAGTGGAAATTGTTGTTAAGTGATATATCATTGAAAAATCATGTGACCACACCGCTGCTGCAATTCCAGCAGTCCCAGTTGCTGTTGTTAAATGAAGTTCATGCAGGTCATTAAGTGAGGATCTCACATGATTACAACTTCCAAATTCTTGCCAGCTTCCCCATTGACTTTGCTCATGGGATGACAGCAGGGAAGGTTGCAAATTGCAATTATGTGATCATAGGGATGCTGCAATGGCCATTAGTACAAGATTCAGTCATAACAATAACTCTTTCAATGCTGTCATACACTTGCTGAACAAGTGGTCATTAAATGAGGAATACCTGCAGTGGTTGTTTAGATGCAGCTTTTAAAAGCCTGCTGTATGGATATATATCTATATATTTGCTATTTATTAACTCTTTATGTTATCAGTTCCAATGAGATACATATTTTTGGATCATCTCCAAAAATATATGCCTGTTATACTGTAAAAATATATTTGCCATTGGTCCACAATCTTAGATCTATAAGTATATTGTTAAAATATTTATCCATTATCCCATCTGACTACAACATTACCATCTCAAACTAAAATTATATACAAAAATAAATGAGGCACAACTATAAATGAAGACCAACTCGTTAGCATAATTAATAATTCAATTATGTTGAAGTCATTGAGGTAAACCTAAAACCCTGGGTTTCTTCAAGATCCTGAAGGCAGCCCTTTGATCCACCCAAAAGTTGTCACTAAATTATAATTTTTAGTGTAATCGAAGGGAATCATGATTAAAACACATTAAATTAATATTAATTTAAGGTAAATTAAATCATTTACTTTTTGTCCTGGTTACATCCAGGGTCTGCATGAATTCCCCAGATCTTCTCTCAAAGGTCAAATGGGCCATTCCCTCCCCCAATAAAATTGTGTTCCTACACTATTCCATATCTTTTCCATACCAAATATATCAGTTATTTGTCTACCATTGAAAATAGGAGCAACTCTTCCAAGAACAGTCCTTATATGACCTGATTGAAAAGACTTTTGTCAAATGAGGTTTAAAGCATGTCGTTTTATGCTGTACTTCATGAACAATTTGTGCAAGTTCGAATAATGCAACTTTCAATTTAGCATAGACTGTAAATTGATACCAGGTTGTATTTAATGCAAACCTAAATTCAATTAATGTGAGTCTAGATGTTACTAATCTGGAGAAAAGGAAGATCCCACCAAATGAAAACAGCACAAGTTTAAAAAAGAAGAGACTTGCATTGGAGCAAATATATATATATATATATATATATA